GTGATTGACCCATGGGGTGTGTGGCTGGGTGTCACTCTCCTCAGCCACGTTTGCCTGTTCCCACCCTGGGTGGCAGGAAAGAAGGCAAAAGATGAAACCCGATGCAGGTTCTTTTGACTGAGGATGACTATGTCTTTTGACTGAGGATGACAGGGCTCCCCCCAGGATGAGAGCTCGGGAGAGGGAGAGGTTCTGGTTTTCTCCTTAAGATCTTCCCAGCAAATAGCTGCATTCTTCAGTCACCCAAGCACGCCTCAGGCTGGCCTGAAGCCCAGCCACCTCAAGGCACATTCCTGGTATGTCAGGAGGAACCTAGGAATCACACGAGAATCTCCATCACTTCTTTGCGCCAAGCCTGGGGAAAGGACGCCACGACGACTTGAGCCTCCCTCAGATGTTCCTGCAGCACACGGTGGCCTGCCCTTTGGGTCAGCACCTGGTCAACTCCTCGGGAAGTCCTTCACCCTGGATAAAGAAGAGACAACCCCTTTTCAATGAAAGCAGGCTCCCAGCTTTGCACTATGACATCATCCCACTAAACAGCCTCTGCGCCAGCATCTCCTGGGCTCCCACCTCCCTGCAGTCAGGCTGAGGAGAAATTAGAGATGTGGAAACACCAGCCAGGAGACAGAAGTGCCTCTGTTACAAGGGGAGGAGCCAGGAACACAGCCTATGTTAGGACCTGAAGTCTGAGCACCACCATATTCTTGCCTCCATTCTCCCAAGACCCATTTACCACACCATTATCAGCTTCCGGGATTTAAGAAGCTGTTGCCAGGAGAGGTATGGGAGCCAGCCTAGATGAGGCAACTGGTCTTCAACTGTAGCCCAAAGGCACAAACTGCCACCCCAGACAGCTGAGGCTGGACACACCACCAGATTGTTCTGTGTGGTAGAGTGCAGAAGGCAGTCTCTATGTGGCTGAGCCCAACTATCTGACCTCAGGCCTCAACTTGCTTCGGTCATGAGCATTTCCCCAGTGGAGCCTCACCACTCCCCCTCCCCTGAAACACTTCCAGGAAAGCAGGCCACTTCTCTGCAATTTTAGTTGTTCAGTAACATGCTATTGTGCTCTTTAAGAAACTGATACACACCATGGTGTTTAAGCCTTTAGGGAAGTGGGAGGATACTGAGATGCTGTGTGAGCACCTCTATGCTATACCATGTCAGACCAGTGAGGGAAACTGGGCCGCTAAACTGTGAGTTTACCTTCCTCCAGAATGCTTTTCACATCTTCCACAATCCCCTCACTGGAGATCTGCCATGGCCTGGACTCATCTTAGGCCTCCCTGTTCTCTCCATGTGCTAGTGGGGTGCCTGCCGATCAGAAAATGAGCGGTCTGTCACTGAACTGACTGCCGGGGAGCACTCATGGTCTTTGGTGCCTTCCAGGCTCCACCACAGTCTCTGCATCCACAGGCAACTGTGGTCCTGGCTGCTCTCTGCCATCAGGTTTCCCTTCCATTTTTACTTATTGCCTAAAGAACTTCATACAAAATTCTATTTATGATTCTCACAGTCCGACACAGAAAACATCAACTTTTTTTTTTTTAGACAGAGTCTTGCTCTGCCACCCAGGCTGGAGTGCAGTGGCATGATCTTGGCTCACTGCAAGCTCCACCTCCCGGGTTCACGCCATTCTCCTGCCTCCGCCTGCCAAGTAGCTGGGAGTACAGGCGCCCACCACCACGCCTGGCTGATTTTTTGTATTTTTAGTAGAGACGGGGTTTCACCATGTGAGCCAGGATGGTCTGGATCTCCTGACCTCATGATCTGTCCACCTGGGCCTCCCAAAGTGCCGGGATTGTAGGCATGAGCACTGTGTCTGACCCCACATCAACTATTTTAATTTTTTTCTTCTTTCCTATCACTGTCTAAAAACACATTTTTTTTTAACACGGTAAGACCCAGTTTGATTGACTGTATCTAATGTTTAACCTATTACATGGGCAATTTTTTTTTTTTTTTTTTTTTTGAGACAGAGTCTCGCTCTAGGTGATGCTCTTTGATTGTCTCTGTTCTCATTCCATGAGAACAACCACATGCTCTATGGAAGCATAATCCTTCAGTGCACTCATACAACCTATATTAACTTTTCCTCCCTGAGCCAAGAGCTTCTCCATCCCAGTTTCAGCAAGACCAATTTCTGAGCCATGGGCAATAGGTAACACCAGCCTCACTAGCTCACACACCCAGCTGTGGAAGCACATTTCATTTTTATGGTAAAGTCTGCCTTTGCCACTACAGGCGGTGCAGCATGTTAGTTTCTAGATTAGCCTTTAGTGTTAAAGATCCAGCTCTTGCTGTCTCCTGAGTAATTTACTTAACTGAGACTCACATTCCTCATCTGTATAATGACTATAACAAAACTAATTCTGTCTCAAAGTGATTGTGACACTTCAAGGAGGCAACATACAGAAATGCCCATATAATATCTGATACTCAATTTATATCTGTTATTATGTTCATTCTTATAACTTAAGTACCTGCTTATTAACTACAGTCATATGTGGCAGAATGACATTTTGGTCAATGACAGACAACATGTATGACAGTGGTCCCATAAGATTATAACAAAGCTGAAAATTTCCCTTTGCCTAGTAAAGTCGCAACTGTTGGAATGTCGGCGCAGTGCGTTGCCCATGTGTCTGTGGTGAGGCGGTGTAAACCGTCTACTGCCCTGCATCATTAGAGTAAAACAACCTTTCTTTTCGGTAAAGATTTTAAGTAATATGTTATACAAATGAAAGACTAACCACAGTGATGGAATTTTTAGAAAGAGATAAAACTAAGAGTCTATGAGGATTTGGAGAAACAACTATTCACATATGCTGTGGGGAGCATGAATTGGTGTCATCATTTTTGGAAAAGTTTGGCATTAGTTATGACAATGAAAGATATGTCTCCTTCTAATAGTCTGCTCCACAGAAGTGAGTGCTGGTGCTATTCCAAAACCATTGACAAAAACACTCCAAGCACCATTACTTGAGATAGACACAATTATATTAAAAATAACCCTGGCCAGGCGTGGTGGCTCACACCTGTAATCCCAGCACTTTGGGAGGCTGAGGCGGACAAATCACCTGAGGTCAGGAGTTCGTGATCAGCCTGGTCAACATAGTGAAACCCAGTCTCTACTAAAAATACAAAACTTAGCCGGATGTGGTGGTAGGCACCTGTAATCCCTGGCTACTCAGGAGGCTGAGGCAGGAGAATCGCTTGAACCAGGGAGGGGGAGGTTGCAGTGAGCTGAAATCATGCCACTGCACTCTGGTCTAGCGACAGAGGTGAGACTCTGTCAAAAAAAAGAAAAGAAAAGAAATCTAGCCCTTAAAGAGATGAATATCAACAAGAACAAAATTGAAGCCAAAGTTTGAAGAGAGAAATAGTGTACTATTATCATTTGTGGGAAGGAATTCTTGGCCTTCCCAAAAATTAGAGAACTAGGGAGAAAGAAGCATCATCTCAGAATCTGCAACTGATTGGGTTGGGAAGTGGAGAGCTGGAAATCATGCTCAAGAGTTAAACTTTCTTCCTCCTTTCAAAGGAGACTGGAGTTTGACCAGTGAGCCCAGAGTCAATATTCACCCCGCCATCCACCCCGGGAGATCCCTTTAAACCAGGGCGCAGAGCAGGACGGAAACATGAAAGTGCTAGAAGTCTGAAAAGTTCAGAGGTGATTCTCCCATTTCCCCTTGGCACACAGCAGAAGAACTGTTTCTCTAGGTTCCAGGAAATGCCTGTGAGAGAGCTGTGTCCCCCAGATTCCCTTCATCACAGATGACACCCAGTGCTTAAGCCTACACCCTTGTGTACAATCCCTAGGAGTGCTGACTAATCCAAACCAAAGGCTCTGATGTTCCACAGGCAGAAAAGAGCAGGTGGACTGCAAAGAGAATCTCTCATGAACACAGCATCCCCATAGCCCATAGAGACAGTTCTTACCATGATGCCAAGAAACTCTGAAAACAATAAAGCCAGACCTCACACGTGTTTCCATTTCTTTCTGATTTCATACCCCTCCTTCAACCTCCTCACAAGCAGCAGGGATAACCTGGAGGCTCACAGAACCTTTTCCCATTGGATTTTCACAGCATGTAGTTCCCTACCTGGATGAATCTCCTCTTCATGAACTCTCCAGCATCCAAATCTTTAGAAAGAAAAACACCAGGATAAGTCATTCATTCAGGTGACTAAGCCCACTCCTCCTACTTTAGCTGAACTGGATGATGGGCTTTTCTCCCACCCCGCCTCTTCATACATGATCTGCCCCTCATCTTTCTTCTGGGTTGACAAACCTCCCTGCAACTTCTCGGGCCAGAGTTCTATACTGGCAAAATCACTTTCATGAGAACCCCAAGCCTCTTTCCCAGCAGGAACCCAGAATCAGTTTCTATACACGAAGCTACCAAGTTTTCCCTCAGGGTAGGTTATTTCGTAGTACATACCACTTTCTTTCCAAGCTGTTATCTGCAATTATATAAAAGAAAACATCATGAGAATCAGATTCTGCTGTGCGCTTCACACAGATCTGTTATTCTCTGGACAACGATAAAAAACCAGAAGGTGGTATAGCGATTGAACCATGAGTCAAAGTCCCAAAGCCTAGCACAGAGGATAGCTATAGAAAAACAATACCTTAATTCACAGAATTTACCTTTAATTTTATATTCAAATGCACAATGCTTAATCCAAGGAGGAAAACTGGTATTGTGGAAAATGCCTCAGTATTCCAGTTGATACTGGATGCTGTCATTGAAAACCACACTAGCAGACCATGTATCAGTTGGCAAGACACACCTACTGAATTCCAGCCCCACAAAGAAGACTAGTGTACAATGTACATAATGTGCACTGCCAGATTTTCATATCAAAATTAATTGAGAAGTAAAGCAATCAGGAAAGCAACACTGCTGTAAAAGACAAAAAAGGGGAGTCTTACCTGGACATCATTATTATCATCCTCATCTTCTTTCTCTTCTTCTTCATCTTTCTTGTGAGTGAACCTCACAAAAACAGCCCATCCTCAGGACAAACTGGAAGGACACAGAGGAAAGATCAGTGCACTGGTGGTTGGTGACTGTGGTCTCAGGAGCTTTGCTGGATGTGGTGTATGGAGGTGGTTGACAAGTATGAACTGAGTTGATGCTGGGCTATTCCCTGAGTGGGAGAGGATGGCAGAGAGGGGAGCAGGAGAAGAGACACGAGACATGAAGCTGTTGGCCTCGTACTAGAGGCATCAGGCAACCCAACACAAAACAGACAACCCCAAATGGATCTAAAATGCATACTGAGGGTCAGTGGAAGAGTCCTTCCTCCCTCTCAAATGTTTTACTTTCTTCAAAACAAACAGCATTTTCTTAACGTATTCAAGACCCTGTCAGTACACTAGGATCCAATTACGCTGGTACTACATTTAGCATCTGTTTTAAAGGATTTATTACTTGATTAAAAGCCAATGTTATGGTGAAATGGACTCAATTTTACCCAAATTACTCTATTCTATTAATCACACATTCTTTTTCATAGAGATCATTTAAAAATTCAATGTTAAAATGCTGCAATTAAAAATAGTCATGATTTCCTCTTTGTAAGTCTTCTTCTGGAACCACTTCTGCACACCCATGCGGACCCCTGTGATCAGGCGCTCCAGCAGCTCTGTGTGACTCTCCCTGAGAAATTCCCTAAAAAGTCAGGCTAAGACAAACAGGCCAATCTCACACAGCCTGCTCTACCTACACCAGTGAAGCTGAGAGACATGACTCTGAACACTTTCTGCCATGAGGATAAGCTTTCAGGTTCAAATACACATTATCTACTGAAATGAGGAAATGTATACCAATAGAAATGAATGAATTCAGGAAAAAATGTTCATGAGTACGAGGGTGATTTTGGTTAGCAACATGTAAAAATTATTTTTTTGGCTGAGCACTCTGGCTCACACCTGTAATTCCAGCACTTTGGGAGGCTGAGGTGGGCAGATGACCTGATGTCAAGAGTTCACGACCAGCCTGGCCAACATGGTGAAACCCTGTCTCTATCAAAAACACAAAAACATTAGCCAAGCATGGTGGTCACGCCTGTAGTCCCAGTTACTTGGGAGGCTGAGGCAGAAGAATGGCGCGAACCCGGGAGGCAGAGCTTGCAGTGAGCTGAGATCACACCACTGCACTCCAGCCTGGGCGAGACAGCGAGATTTTGTCTCAGAAAAATAAAAAAAAGAAAAGTCTAGAACTTAAGTGATGAATATCAGCAAAGAACAAAATTGAAGCCAAAGTTTTGAAGATAGGAAATAGTGTGATGCTATCTTTGTGGGAAGGAACTAATGGCTTCTCCAAAAGGAAATAGAGAACTGGGGAGAAAGAAACCTCATCTCAGAATCTGTGACTGAGTTGGAACTGGAAGCTGGAAATATGCTCAAGGTCAAACATTCCTCCTCCTTCAAGGAGACTGGAGTTTTACCAGTGAGCCCAGCATGAATATTCCTCCGCCATCCACCCCAGGAGATCCTTTAAACCAAGGAGCGCACAGTGAGGACAGAAACATGAATTATGCACTAACAAGTCCTGAAGTTCAGAGGTGACTCTCGATTTCCCCTTGGCACACAGCAGAAGAACTGTTTCTCTAGGTTCCAGGAAATGCCTGTGAGAGAGCTGTGTCCCCCAGATTCCCTTCATCACAGATGACACCCAGTGCTTAAGCCTACACCCTTGTGTACAATCCCTAGGAGTGCTGACTAATCCAAACCAAAGGCTCTGATATTCCACAGGCAGAAAAGAGCAGGTGGACTGCAAAGAGAATCTCTCATGAACGTGGCACCCCCAAAGCCCATAGAGACAGTTCTTGCTGGCATTACTGAGAAACTCTGAAAACAACAAATAGACCTCACATATTTCCATTTTTCTTTCTGATTTCATACCCCTCCTTCAGCCCCTCCTCACAACCGCAGGGGATAACCTGGGAGGCTCTGAACCTTTTCCCATTGGATTTTCCTGTACGTAGTTCCCTACCTGGATGAGTCTCCTCATCACTTAGACTCTCCAGCATCAAGTCTTTAGAAAGAAAAACACCAGGATAAGTCATTAGACAGAGCTCGCCCACTCCTCCTACTTTAGCTGAAGCTGAATAAGTGGAAGCATCTCCCACTACCAACTGCTTCATACATGATCCCCTCATCTTTCTTCTGGGTTGACAAACCTCCCTACAGCTTCTCGGGCCAGAGTTCTATACTGGCAAAATCACTTTCATGAGAACCCCAAGCCTCTTTCCCAGCAGGAACCCAGAATCTGGTTTCTATACACTGAAGCTAGCAAGTTTTTCCCTCAGGAAGTGAGTTATTTCATGGTACATACCACTTTCTTTCCAAGCTGTTATCTGCAATTATATAAAAGAAAACATCGTGAGAATCAGATTCTGCTGTGCGCTTCACACAGATCTGTTATTCTCTGGACAACGATAAAAAACCAGAAGGTGGTACAGCGATTGAGCCATAGGTCAAAGTCCCCAAAGACTACCACAGAGGATAGCTATAGAAAAACCAGACCTTTATTCACAGAATTTACCTTTGTTTTATATGCAAATGCAATGCTTAATCAAGAGAGGAAAACTGGTGTGGAAAATGCCTCAGCATTCCAGTTGATAATGGATGCTGTCATTTAAAAGCACTCTACCACATATAAGGTGGGGAAGACACTCCTACTAATTCAGCTCCACAAAGAGAATAAATTTACATTGTACATAATGTGCGTGCCAGATTTTCATATCAAAATTAACTGAGAAGTGAAGGAATCAGGAAAGCAACATTGCTGTAGAAGACCAAAAAAGGGGAGTCTTACCTGGATATCATCATCATCATCATCATCATCATCAGCATCATCATCATCATCTTTATCTTTGTATCGTGGTGGGCATCTTAAAGGCTCTGTGGTTCTAGGCTGAAACTGGAAGGACACAGAGGAAAGATCAGTGCACTGGTGGCTGGTGACTGTGAGTCACTCAGAGAGCTTTGCTGGATGTGGTGTATGGAGGTGGTTGATTAACAAGCATGGACTGAGTTGATGCTGGGCTGTACCCCTGAGTGGAAGAGGGATGGCAGAGAAGGGGAGCAGGAAAGACGTGAGACATGGAGGCCTTGGCCTTGTACTAGAGGCATCAGGCAGCAACACAAAACAGTCAACCCAAAATGGAACTAAAATGCACACTGAGGGTCAACGGAAGGTACCTTCTCCCTCTCCTTATTTGTGTGTGTATATATACCTATATATATATATTTGATGCCTATTTTTTCAGACATACAAAATATTGCTGTAAGAAATCAAAAATTTCTATCCAGTCATGTTAGGTCAACATCAGCTGTCAACATGAAGATCTAGAAGTAAAAGAAAGTACAAATAAGTGAAGGCATCTGTATTAATGGATAGGAAGACCAAACCTGACTAACACACAATACTACACACATGATCACCACAGACTCATAACAATTATTATCAAACTGGTAACAGTCATCTGTGCAGAAATGGAAAAGATAATCCTACTATTTTAACGGGAATTTATGTGCTTCCAGGTAACCATGATGATGTCAAAAAAAATAGTGTTAGAGAATACACATTCATGAGATTAAAATCCACACACACACAAAATACAAAAATTCAGACAGCATGGTTCCAGCACTCATAAGTTTCACAAATATAGAGAGCCCAGAATTGAATGCACACATATACAGTAAACTGATCTAACAAGGTGTCAAAAACACACAATTGGGAAAGGACAGCCTCTTCAACAAATGATGGTAAAACTGCATATTCTCATTCAAATAAAGACAGAATGCTGACAGTGTGCTCAAGGTTGTACTTCTCCCTCCATTTCCAAGACACTGGAGCTTTTGCAGTGAGCCCAGAGTGAATTTTCATTCTGTCCTCCACACCCAGGAAGAGCTCTTGATACCAGAGGTAAGCAGGAAAAACAGATGAATGAGTGTGCTGCCAGGAAACCTAACAGTTTATAAGGTGAGGATTAATTTCTCCTATGCATCTGGGCACATCACAGAAGAATTCTGTCTCCAGGATGAAGTAACTGCCTGTGACAAAACTGCATCCCAAACAAAAGACTTTGAGATTTTGCAGTGGCAGAGACAGAAAAGAGCAGGTGTTCCAAGAAGATCGTCTTTAAATAATAAAGTAAGAAGAGGTGATTGAAAGCTTGGGATACTCAAAGCCCATAAACATAGTACTTCTCACCATGATGACATTAAACTCTAAAAAGAACAAACTTTACTTGTATTTACCTTTTCTTTTTCTATTTCACACTATCCTCAGCCTCCCAAGCAGCAGGTATAACATGAAGTTTCCTGGAAATGCTGTTTGTTAGATCCCATCTGAAGTCTTGTTGCCTACCTGGAAAGGCATCCTCTTCCCTGCTGAATTCTCCAAGAATCCACTCTTTGAATACCAACATCAGGATAAGTCAGTGAGAGGTGCACTCACTTCTCCTACTCCAGGTGAAGACACACTGGCTCACACAAAATCTCCTGGTTGGTCCTCTGGGTTCACACACATTTCTACAGCCCCTCTGGTCATAGTTATACACTTACAAAATCATTTGCTCTCACCAGACCTCCAATATTTTTTAACAGGAACCCAGATTAAGGTTTCTGTATATTAAAGCCAGCAAGGTTGTTTGTCAGAAAGTGAGTTAGTTCAAGGTACATACCCTGGTCAGGCAATGGTAAAATCTGCAATGAGAAAAAAGAAGATGCCATGAGGATTAGATCAATTCTGCTGCACCCCTTACACAGATCTGTTAGTCTCCTGATGACTTCACAAAACTACATGTGAAACAGTGGTGGAGTCAAGGTCAAGGCCAAACATTCTAGCATAGAGGACACCTGTGGAAAAGACAAGAGCTTTTCCCACAGAATTTCTTTGAGGTTGATTTAGATTGGTAAATGCACAATGCCAAATGCAAGGAGAAAAACTGGTGTGGAGGAAAATGCCTCTGCATTACAGCTGATGATGGATGTTGTCCTTCAAAAACACCCTAGTGTGTCATGTATTAGATGAAAAAGAAACTCCCACTGAACTCCATCCTCACAAAGAGAATTGTGTATGTTGTATATAATCTGCCTTGTCATATTTTTATGTCAAAACTAATTGAAAGAGGGAAAGAAGTCAGGTGAAGGAAATAATGTATACAGTGGTCCATTTTTAACACAAAGTGCTTTGAACCAGTCTAGGTCAGCAAAGGACAGAAGAAATGAGATATGCCAGGCTCCTGCTTGGATGGGCAATGCCTGCTTCTTGACCCCCCTCACTCCCCACTTAGTTGCCCTCACCTTCCAACCAAAGTTTAGTCTAAGATGAAAGTTTACTAGCCTGCAAAATAGCTCACTTTGTCTGTTCTTATCAGCCTGCCCAGCTACTTAGGTCATAAGTCAAATTCTTGAAGAGCCCCTGAACTGACTAGGACGGCAATGCATTGTGGGCTGCAACAAAATGCAGTAAGACAACCCTAGAAAATACACAAACCCTTCCCCAAATCAATAGGCAACACCTGGGAAGACTGTGACCCCACAGTACTCAGCCTATGAGGAACCAGGGGAGGGACCTGCACACTAGGGGATAAATTGCTTGTGGAAACTGTGCTGGGTGTCTTCCCATCCAGACACAGATCTTGCAACACTGTCATTAAAAGTCTCACTTTCAGCCAGGCGGGGTGGCTCATGCCTGTAATCCCAGCACTTTGGGAGGCTGAGGCTGGTGGATTATCTGAGGTCAGGAGTTCAAGACCAGCCTGGCCAACATGCTGAAACTCTGTACAAAAATTAGCTGGGCATGGGGACACATGCCTGTAATCCCAGCTACTTGGGAGGCTGAGGCAGAATACATTGAGCCCAGGAGATGGAGCCAAGATTGTACCACTGCACTCCAGCCTGGGCAACTGAGCGAGACTCTGTCTCAAAAGAAAGGAAAGGAGAGGGAGGGAGGGGAGGGGAGGGAGGAGGAGGAGGTAAGGGGAAAATTTCACTTTGCTGTTTTCCAGCTCCCTAGTCCATTCTTCGGGTTTCAACGGGTGAGTTTTTTTCTCATATCAGAAAACCAACATTTCCTTAGAAGACAAAGAAAGGTGGTCTTACCTGGACATCATCATCATCATCATCATCACAATCTAATCTTCCTTCGTGGTGGTCTCACTAAACTCAGGTTGTCCTCAGAAGAACCTGGAAGGACACAGAAGAAAGATCAGTGCCACAGGTGTTTGTGACTGTGAGTCATTCAGGGAGCTTTGCTGGATGTACCATGTGGAAGTGGTTGATTAACAAGCCTGGACTGAGTTGATCCTGGGCTATTCCCTGAGTGGAAGAGGATGGCAGAGAAGGGAGCAGAAAGACATGAGACATGATGGCTGCACACCATACTAGACATCATTGTTGCTTCGACGTCAATCCCAAATGAACAAAATATTTTTTTAAGAGATAATGATGCTCCCTCCCTCACTCAAATGTTTTATGAAACTCCCAAAACCACACAGCAGTCCTATTACGCGTCAGGTATTCCAGAGACCCAGTGTAAAGCACACTAGGACCCAATTATGCTGGTACTACATCCCCAACATCTATTTTAAAGGATTAATTAGCAATTAACAGTGAAATAGATTCAATTTTACAGAATACTCTAATTTCTGATCATATATATATATATATATATATATATTTTTTTTTTTTTTTTTTTTTTTTTTTTTGAGACAGAGTCTTCCTCTGTTCCCCAGGCTGGAGTGCAGTGGCAGGATCTTGGTTCACTGCAAGCTCCACCTTCTGTGTTCACACCATTCTCCTGCCTCAGCCTCCGAGTAAGTGGGACTGATCACCACCGCCACACTCGGCTAATTTTTTTGTATTTTTAGTAGAGACAGGGTTTCACCATATTATCCAGGATGGTTTGGATCTCCTGACCTCGTGATCCGCCCACTTGGCCTCCCAAAGTGCTGGGATTACAGGCATGAGCCACCTGTGGGCTGATCACAATTTCTTTTCATAGAGGTCATTTAAAAAACAAATATTAAAATGCTACAATTAAAAATAGTCATGATTTCCTCCTTGTAAGTCTTCTTCTGGAACCAGGGTGTGTGCACACAACCTTTTGGGCCCCTGTAATCAGGAGCTTCCAGCAGCTTTCTGTGTCACTCTCCCTGAGGAGATTCCTAAAATCAGGCTTCATTCTAACAGGCCAAACTCACACAGCCTGCACAACCTACACCAGTGAAGTTGAGAGTAAGTGACTCTCAATACTTCTCTACCATTAGGACGAATTTCCAGGTTCAAATATACATGATCTACTGAAATGAGGAAATGTATACCAACACAAATGAACACATCCATGAACAAATGTCCATGAGTATGGGGTGATTTTAGTTAACTAGCTTATATAATATTTTTCATTTGAGGCCTATTCATTCAGACATACAAAATATTGGTATAAGGTGTCACAAGTTTGGCCAAACATGAGCTCATCCTGTAATTCCAGCACTTTGGGAGTCCGAGGTGGGCGGATCACAAGGTCAAGAGATCGAGACCATCCCGGCCAACATGGTGAAACCACATCTCTACTAAAAATACAAAAATTAGCTGGACGTGGTGGCATGCACCTGTAGTCCCAGTTATGGGAGGCTAAGGCAAGGGAAATCACTTGAACCCGGAAGGCAGAGGTGGCAGTGGCGGAGATCACATCATTGCACCAGTATGGTGACAGAAGTGAGACTCTACTCAAAAAAAAAAAAAAAAAAAAATCACAAATGTATATCAGTCATGTTAAATCTAACTAATCAGCTGTCAACATAAAGATTCTAGAAAGTAAAGACCTTACAAATAACTTGAAAGGCATGCCGTACTCATGGATAGGAAGACTAAGCATGACCCCAACACACAATATTACACAAATGATCTGCAGACTCACAACAACTGCTATTAAACTGGCAGCAGCCATCTGTGCAGAAATGGAAAAAGATAATCTAAGATTTAGCCAATTTTGTATTGCCTCAAATAACCATGGTAACATTGAAAAGAATAGTGTTAGAGGAAGCTTGTTCATGGACTGAAATCTACAAAAAACAGAGAAATTCAGACAGCATGCTTTGGCATGAGGCACCCATAAATTATCACAGATATAGAGATCGAGCCAGAATTAAATGCACACATACAGAGTCAGCTGATCTTCAACAGAGGTGCCAAGAATACACAACGGGAAGGGAAAGCCTCTTCCGCCAAATGATGGTTAAACTGCACCATGCTCATTCAAGGAAAAATTGAATGCTGACAGTGTGCTCAAGGTTGTGCTTCTCCTTCCATTTCCAAGACACTGGAGCTTTTGCAGTGAGCCCAGAGTGAATTTTCATCCTGTCCTCCATGCCCAGGAGATGTCTTGATACCAGAGGTAAACAACGGAGACAGACAAATGAACTTGCTGCCATGAAAGCTAACAGTTCATAAAGGTGAGGATCCATCTCTCCTATGCATCTGGAGCACACCGCAGATTTTATATCCAGGATGAAGTAACTGCCTGTAACAGAACTGTGTCCCAAACCAAAGGCTCTGATATTTTGCAGTGACATAGGCAGAAAAGAGTAGGTGTTCTCAGAAAAATCATCTTTAAGTAATAAAGCAAGAAGAGGTGATCGCTTCAGGATACTCAAAAGCTCATAAACACAGTACTCCTCACCATGATGACATTAAACTCTGAAAATAACAAATGCGGCTTATATTTACTTTTTCTTTTTCTCTTTCTACACCCTCCCTCAGCCTCCCAAGCAGCAAGTATAACATGAAGGCTCCTGGAAATGCTGTTTTATTAGACCCCACCTGAAATCTTCTTGCCTACCTGGAAAGGCATCCCTCTTCCCGCTGAGATTCTCCAGAATCCACTCTTTAGAGCCACCAACATCAGGATAAGTCAGTGAGAGGTGCACTCCTCTACTCAGGTGAAGACATGCACTGCACCTCCACAAAATCTCCTGGTTGGTCTCTGAGTTCACACACATTTCTACAGCCCCGCTGGTCACCCAGTTATACACTTGCAAAATCATTTCCTCTCTACACCCTCAATATTTTTAACAGGAACGGGTGGGTTTCCTATATATATTAAAGCCAGCAAGTTTGTTTCTCAGAAAGTGAGTTAGTTCAAGGTACATACGGGACAGATGGCGGTGAAATCTGCAATGAGACAAAAGAAGATGTCATGAGGATCAGATCGATTCTGCTGCACCCCTTACACAGATCTGTTAGTCTCCTGATGACTTCACAAAACTACTTGTGAAACAGTGGTGAGTCAAGGTCAAAGGCCAAACATTCTAGCATAGAGGACACGTGTGGAAAAGACAAGAGCTTTTCCCACAGAATTAATCTTTGAGGTTGGTTAGATTGGTAAATGCACAATGCGAATCCAAGGAAAGCTTGGTGTGTGGAGAAAATGCCTCTGCATTATAGCTGATGATGGATACTGTCCTTCAAAACCATCCTAGTGTGTCATGTATTAGATGAAAAAACTCCCACTGAACTCCATCCTCACAAAGAAAATTGTGTATATTTGTACATAATGTACCTTGTCATATTTTATATCAAAATTAGTGGAAGAAATCAGGTGAAGGAAATAATGTATACAGTGGTCCATTTTTTTAACAAGTGCCTTGAACCAGTTTAGGTCAGCAAAGGACAGAAGAAGTAGGATATGCCAGGCTCCTGCTTGGATGGGCAATGCCTGCTTCTTAGGCCCCCCCCTCTTCCCCTCTTAGTTGTCCTCGCTTCAACCAAAGAAGATTAGTCTAAGATGAAAGTTTACTGACGCAAAATAGCTTATTTTGTCTGTTCTTATCAGCCTGCCCAGCTACTTAGGTCATAAGTCAAATACTTGAAGAGCCCACAGACGACTAGGACGGCAATGTATTGTGGGCTGCAACACAATGCTGATAAGACAACCCTAGAAAAATACCTAAAACCTCCTCCCCAAAAATCAATAGGCAACACCTGGGAAGATTGTGACTCCACAGTACTCAGCCTATGAGGAACCAGGACAGGGACCTGCACACTAGAGATAAATTGCTTGTGGAAACTGTGCTGGGTGTGTCTTCCCATCAGACACCGGATCTTGCAACACTGTCATTAAAAGTCTCACTTTCGGCCAGGTGGGGTGGCTCATGCCTGTAATCCCAGCACTTTGGGAGGCTGAGGTGAGTGGATTACCTGAGGTCAGGAGTTTGAGACCAGCATGGTCAACATGATGAAACCCCATCTCTACTAAGAATACAAAAATTAGCTAGCCTTGGGAACACATGCCTGTAATCCCAGCTACTCAGGAGGCTGAGGCAGGATAATTCACCCAGGCCCAGCAGATGGAGGGGTTACAGGAGCCAAGATTGCACCACTGCACTCCAGCCTGGGCAACAGAGCGAGACTCTGTCTCCAAAAAGAAAAAAAAAAAAAAAAAAAAAAAAAAAAAGGAAAGAAAATCTCACTTCTGCTGTTTTTAAGCTCCCTGAGTCCATTCCTTGGGTTTGGACTGGTGACTTTGTTTCTCACATCAGAAAACCAGCACCTCCTTAGAAGACAAAGAATGGTGGTCTTACCTGGGCATCATCATCATCATCATCATCATCATCATCACCACCATCACCATCATAATCTTCACTTTGTGGTAGACTTACTACCTCCAGGTTGTCCTCAGAACCTGGAAGGACACAGAGGAAAGATCAGTGCCCTGGGTGTTTGTGACTGTGAGTCACTCAGAGAGCTCTGCTGGATGTGTGGTGTATGGAGGGTGGTTGATTAACAAGCATGGACTGCTGATGCTGGAGCTATTCCCTAGTGGAAGAGGGATGGCAGAGAAGAGGAGCAGGAAAGACATGAGACATGGGGGGCCTTGGCCTTTGTACTAGAGGCATCATGCAGTAACACAAAACAGTCAATCCCAAATGGAACTAAAGCACACACTAAGGGTCAATGGAAGAGTGCCTTCCTCCCTCTCAAATGTTTTGAAACTCTTCAAATCAAACAGCAATTTCTTACTTATTATTCAAGACCGTGTAAGCACACTGAGACCCAATTATGCTGGTACTACATCTAACATCTATTTCAAAGGATTTATTACTGAAGTAAAAGCCTATTTTATTGGTGAAATGGACTCAATTTTACCCAAACTACTCTATTCTATTAATCACACATTCTTTTTCACACAGATCATTTAAAAGTAATGCCAAAATACTACAATTAAAAATGATCATGATTTCCTCTTTATGATCTTCTTCTGGAATAAAGTGTGTGCACACAACCTTTTGGGCTCCTGTGATCAGGGACTTCATCAGCTCCTATGTCACTCTCCCTGAGGAGAGTCCCTAAAGGTCAGGCTTCATTCATACAGGCCAAGCTCACATGAGGATAAGTTTCCAGGTTCAAATATACATGATCTACTGAAATGAGGAAATGTATACTATTTGAACAAATTCATGAAAAAATGTCCGTGAGGACAAGAGGTGATTTTTAGTTAACTACTTTCACATCTTTCAATTGATGCCTATTCATTCAGAAATACAAAATATTGGTATAAGAAATCACAAATTTGGCCAGGCGCGGTGGCTCACGCCTGTAATCCCAGCACTTTGGGAGGCCGAGGTGGAAGTGGATCATGAGGTCAAGATCGTGACCATCCTGGCCAACATGTAAAACTCACGACTCACAAAAATATAAAAATTAGCTGGGTGTGGTGGTACATGCCTGTATTCCAAGCTACTTGGGAGGATAAGGCAGGAGAATCATTTGAACCGGAGGCCGAAAGGTGGTAGTGAGGAGAAATCACATCACTGCACCCCAGTATGGTGACAGAGTGAGACTCTGTCTCAAAAGAAAAAAAAAGAAAAAAGAAATCACAAATTTATATCGGTCATTTTAAATCTAACTAATCAGCTGTCAACATAAAGATTCTGAAAGTAAGAACATACAAATAAGTGGAAAGGCATCCTGTATTCATGGATAGAGGAAGATAAGCATGACTAACACACAATACTACACAATGATCTACAGACTCACAACAACTGCTATCAAACTGACAACGATCATCTGTGCAGAAATGGAAAAGATAATCCTAAGACTTTAGTGAACTTTTGTGTGCCTCAAATAACCATGGTAACATTGAAAAAGAATAGTGTTGGAGGATGCAAATTCATGAAATTGAAATCTACAAAAAAAAAAAAAAAAAAAAAAAAAAAAAAACAGAGAAATTTAGACAGCATGCTTCTAGCATGGGGGCACACATAAGTATCACAGATATACAATTGAGAGCCCAGAATTAAATGCACACATACAAGTCAATGATCTTCAACAAAGGTACCAAGAATACACAATGGGGAAAGGAAAGTCTCTTCCACAAATGACAGTAAAACTGCATATTCTCTTTCATGAAGAAAATGGAATGCTGACAATTAGCAAGATTTGTGCTTCTCCCTCCATTTCCAAGACATTGGAGCTTCTGCAGTGAGCCCAGAGTGAATTTTCATTCTATCCTCCACACCCAGGAAGAGCTCTTGACACCAGAGGTAAACAGCAAGGACAGACAAATGAATGTGCTGCCATGAAACCTAACAGTTCATAAGGTGAGGATCCACTTCCCCTATGCATCTGGGCACATCACAGAAGAATTCTGTCTCCAGGATTAAGTAACTGCCTGTGACAGAACTGTGTCCCAAACCAAAGGCTCTGGTATTTTGCAGTGGCACAGACAGAAAAGAGCAGATGTTCTCAGAAAAATCATCTTTAAATAATAATAAAGCAAGAGAAGAGGTGATCGAAAACACAGGATACTCAAAAGCCCATAAACATAGTACTTCACACCATGATGACATTAAACTCGAGAAAATAACAAGCGCGGCTATCTTTACTTTTTCTTTTCTCTTTCTACACCATCCCTAGGCCTCCCAAGCAGCGGGTATAACATGAAGGTTCCTGGAAATGCTGTTTTATTAGATCCCATCTGATGTCTTGCCTACCTGGAAAGGTATCCCCACTCTTCCCTGCTGAGATTCTCCAGAGATCACTCACAGAACCACCAACATCAGGATAAGTCAGTGAAGTGCACTCACTTCTCTTACTCCCGGTGAAGACACACTGGCTCACACAAAATCTCCTGGTTGGTCCTCTGGGTTCCCCACACATTTCCTACCCAGCCCCCTCTGGGAGTCAGAGCTATACACTTGCAAAATCATTTGCTCTCACACCCCAATATTCTTAGCAGGAACCCAGATTAAAGGTTTCTATATATTAGGCAGCGCGGTGGCTCAAGCCTGTAATCCCAGCACTTTGGGAGGCCGAGGCGGGCGGATCACGAGTCAGGAGGTGAGACCATCTGGCAGACACAGTGAAACCCCGTCTCTACTAAAAAATACAAAAAACTAGCCGGGGGCGGTGGCGGGCGCCTGTAGTCCCAGCTACTTGGGAGGCTGAGGCAGGAGAATGGCGCAAACCCGGGAGGCGGAGCTTGCAGTGAGCTGAGATCCAGCCACAGCACTCCAACCTGGGCGACAGAGCAAGACTCCGTCTCCAACAAAATAAATAAATAAATAAATAAATAAATAAATAAATAAATAAATAAAGGTTTCTATATATTAAAGCCAGCAAGGTTGTTTCTCAGAAAGTGAGTTAGTTCAAGTGCGTACCCTGCACAGGTGATGGTAAAATCTGCAATGAGACAAAAGAAGATGCCATGAGGATTAGATCAATTCTGCTGCACCCCTTACACAGATCTGTATTAGTCTCTGATGACTTCACAAAACTACTTTTGAAACTGATGGTTGAGTCCATGTCAAGACAAAACACTCTGTTTATAGAGGACATGTGTGGAAAGACAGAGATTTTCCCACGGAATTTCTTTGAAGTTGATTTAGATTGGTAAACTCACAATGTCTAATTCAAAGAGGAAAACTGGTGTGGAGGAAAATGCCTCTGCATTACAGTTGATGATGGATGCTGTGATTAAAAACATCCTAGCGTGTCATGTATTAGATGGGAAGATGTTCCCACTGAACTCCACACCCCAAGAAGGACTATTTATTGTATGTTGGACATAATGTGCCTCGTCATATTCTTACATCAAAATTAATTGAGAAGGAAAGAAATCAGGTGAAGGAAATAATACATACAGTGGTCTTTTTTTTTTTTTTTTTTTTTTTGAGATGGAGTCTAGCTTTATCGCCAGGCTGGAGTGCAGTGGTGCAATCTCAGCTCACTGCAACCTCCACCTCCCAGGTTCAAGCTATTCTCCTGCCTCAGCCTCCTGAGAAGCTGGGATTACAGGCATGCGCCACCACACCTGGCTAATTTTTGTATTTTTAGTAGAGATGGGGTTTCACCATGTTGGCCAGGATGGTCTTGACCTCCTGACCTTGTGATCTGCCCACCTTGGCCTCCCAAAGTGCTAGTAGCGTGGCTCCCACCACACACTGAGCCACAGCAGTCCATTTTTTTTTTTTTTTTTTTTTTGAGATGGAGTCTCGCTTTGTTGCCCAGGCTGGAGTGCAGTGGCACGATCTCGGTTCACTGCAAGCTCCACCTCCTGGGTTCACACCATTCTCTGTCCCAGCCTCCCGAGGTAGCTGGGACTATAGACGCCCACCACCACACCCGGCTAATTTTTTGTATTTTTAGTAGAGACAGGGTTTCACCATGTTAGCCAGGATGGTCTCGATCTCCTGACCTGTGATCTGCCCGCCTCGGCTTCCCAAAATGCTGGGATTACAAGCGTGAGCCACCGTGGCCGGCCACACAGTGGTTCATTTTTAAGAGAAAGTGCCTTGAACCTGTTTAGGTCAGCAAAGGACAGAAGAAATCCTAGGCTCCTGGTTGGATGGGCAATGCCTGCTTGTTGGGTCCCTTTCCACCCGCTTAGTTGTCCTCGCCCCAACAAAATAAGTTTAATTCTCAAGTTCAAAGGAGTTCTTCCTTCACCAAATAGCTCACTTTGTTTGTTCTTATCCAGCCCCTGCCCAGCTACTTAGGTCATAAGTCAAATACTTGAGCCCCTGAGCTGACTAGGATGGCAATGCATTGTGGGCTTCAACAAAATGCAATAAGACAACCATAAAAAAAATACACAAAGCTACCGTCAATCAATATGTGAAACCTGGGAAGATTGTGACCTCACAATACTCAGCCTGAGGAACCAGGAGGACCTGCACACTAGGGGATAAATTGGTTGTTGAAACTCTTCTGGGTGGGACCCGGGCATAGTGGCTCATGTAATCCTAGCACTTTGGAGGCCGAGGCAGGCAGATCACTTGAGGTCAGGAGTTCAAAACCAGCCTGGTCAACATGGTAAGACCCCCGTGTCTACTAAAACTACAAAAAAATTAGCTGGGTGTGGTATGGCTTCTGTAATCTCAGCCACTCAGGAGGCTGAGGCAGGAGAACTGCTTGAACCCAAGAGGTAGAGGTTGTGGTGAGCCAGGATCATGCTGAATTCCAGCCCTGAAGCGGAAGAGCAAAACTCTGTGCAAAAAAAAAAAAAAAAAAAAAAAAAAACAAAGAAACTGTTCTGGTTGTGTCTGCCCATCAGATACCCGATCTTGCAAGACCATCATTAAAAGTCTCGCTTTCTCTGTTCTGCAGGCCTCTGAGTCCATTCTTTGGGTGTGGATGGGTGAGTTTGCTTCTCACACCAGGAAGCAACATTTCCTCAGAAGGAAGAAAGGGGTCTTACCACCAGGCATCATGATTGTCTTCCTCACTTGGTGGTAGAGATTTTAAACTCAGGCTGTCCTCAGGGGGGACCTAAAAAAGGACACAGAGTTAATGTCAGTGCCCTGGTGGTTGGAGACTGTGAGTCCCTCAGGGAGCATTGCTGGATGCGGCATATGGAGCGTGGGACTGAAGATTCTGAGACCATCTCAGAGAAACAACTATGTTCAAGTGGAGAGCAGCAGGGAGTCTCACCAGATACCTCGCATCTTAGTCAGTGCCTGGACCTAATAAGACTCTTGCATTCCCAAGTCCCAGAAGATATTAACCAATCAAACCTCAAGGCTTTGATGTTTGCTGCCATAACATAGAAGGGGCTTGGTCTTCTGGAAAGGTAATTGCTAAATCAGAGAAAGGAAAAAAATGGTTACAAAATGGTTAAAAAAAATGGTTACAGCACACAAAGCCCATGGACACTAATCGTCTCCTCTTTATCTTATTAAAATACAAGGAATAAGTCAGACTTCACACACATATTTCCTTTGGTTCTAACTTTCGCCCTTTTCCTAGGTTCAAGAAACAGGTGTCACCCAACTGCTCCCAGAGATCCTCTAAATGCCTCTTCTCCACCTGCAGATCTACTGCAGCTGCCCTGCCCTCATGGGCCGGTGTCAATGGCCAATCTTTAGAGACAAAAAACTCCACAAGAGAATTATTCCAGAGAGCAACTCGCCCACCCTCCTACTCAGGTGAGGCCACACTGGGTTACACGAATCACTCTGCCCTTCCCTCAGTGTTGTCAGACTCTCCTGGGCTCACAAGTCAGGAGTCTCTAGAAAACCATCGCTCACACTTGCCAGCCTTTAACTGAGAAAGAAGAACTGAAGGAACCATGTTTCAACTTTTTCCTTCCACTGGCCAGTATAAGATTCTGCCAATCTCACAGCCCTGAGATTCCCACTTTGATATTACTTGCATTTGAGTTAGAGTTCAACAATCGGCCCCTCAGCCAGGCTCACAGCAGATGTGGCTTGACCGGTTGGGCCATTGCACGGTGGCTGTCGCGATGAGGTTCTTTTTTTTTTTTTTTTTTTTAATTTTTTGAGACAAAGGTTCACTCTTGCTGCCCAGGCTGGAGTACAATGGCATGAACTCAGCTCACTGCAACCTCCGCCTCCCAGGTTCAGGCGATTCTCCTGCCTCAGTCTCCTGAGTAGCTGGGATGACAGACATGCAACACCATGCACGGCTAATTTTTGCATTTTTAGTAGAGATGGGGTTTTCACTATGTTGGCCAGCCTGAGTCTCTAACTCCTGACCTCAGGTGATCCACCCACCCGGCCTCTAAAGTGCTGGAATTACAGGTGTGAGCCACCATGCCAGGCCCTGAACTTTTAATTGTAAATATTTAAATGTATTGAAATATGAGGAGGCACATATATGACTGACAACCACAATAAATGACACAGGAGATCCAGACATGAGGAAGATATGACCCCCTCCCCTGGTGTTTCCTTGTGAAATGGTTTACAGCTGTGCTCCCACCATACATTTATGGTAACTTCCTGGGCATGTGCACAAGGGCCAGTCACTGTGTGGGGCTGGGGATATGACAACAATGAGGACAACACCAGGTCAGAGGGATTCCAGCAGGGGCGCATGTGCACAGGGGAGAGACCATGGCCCTGCACTCCCTGTCTAGACAGGATCAGAGAAGCAGGAGCCGAGGGGCAGGGGCACCTCACTGTCCTCAGGAGCTCAACCTCATCTCCAGGGACCCTGACTCAGAAGCTGGGAGGTAGGCTCCCTTGGGGTTGGTGTAGGGCTCAACAGGCTGGACAGGCTGAGAAGGGAACATTTCCACATGTGCGCTAGATCCCAGCCCAGGGCTGACCTAAGAACTCATCCCAGGGATGTGTTCCTCACGATTGCCCATGGGGCTAACATGTTCTCCCCAGGACTGAGCTCTGGGATAAGGACTAATGAGGAAGACACAGTCACTGCCCTGGCAGGAAACACCCATAGCCAGGGTTCCTCTATCCACCCTGTGGGAAGACACAACACGGATAGAGTTTGACACTGAAGATTCCAAACCTTCTATAAAATAAGTGGAAATTGATGTGTTCTGGATTCCACAGAGAAGGGTTGCAAGGATGAGTTGGACTCTGGGAATCAGTCCCCATCCCTTTGCTGGCTCCTGTGGTGCACTGGAACTCATGGCCCTCCCACCTCCCCTGGTACTAGTGCTAGGGGGCTCTGTCAGTTGAACACACATGTCAGCCAGGCATGGGGGCTCACACCGGTAATCCCAGCACTTTGGGAGGCCGAGGTGGGCAGATCGCCTGATGTCAAGAGTTTGAGAGCAGCCTAGCCAACATGGAGAAACCCCATCTCTACTGCAAGTACAAAAGTTAGCTGGGCGTGAGTGGTGCATGCCTGTAATTCCAGCTACTCGGCAGGCTGAGGCAGGAGAATCACTTGAACTTGGGAGGTGGACATTACAGTGAGCTGAGATCGCACCACTGCACTCCAGCCTGGGCAACACAGTGAGTCCCTCTCAAAAAAAACAAAAACAAAAACAAAAAAACACATTTCTAGGCCAGACAACCCTTGGCCAATACTGTCTCCTCAAGGACCATTCCTCAAGTGACTTCCAGGAGAGGTGAAAAAGAAAAACTCATCTGTCCTACCCCCAGAAAGATCGGGCCTGGGACCTGTCTGTCTGTCTGACTTATGTCTGTCTGCTCTGTGTCAGAGAAGTGGGGACCTGATTCCTGTTCTGCCTCCTCACCAATTTCTGCTGGTGTCACTGCCATCCTTCGCACAGAATGGAGAAGACAAAAGAGAAAGCAATGAAACTCCATTCTTGAGGCATTTAGGATGAAGTCCACACCATGCTCTCGGCAGACAGGAGGCCAGGTCCTGCTCACTCCTACTCAGAAGGGGTCTCAGAGATATAGTACTAACTGCTTGTTAGCTATTTCTCCTCTGCTCTTCTCTTTTATTCTTCTTTTTGAGATGGAGTCTCACTCAGTCATTCAGGCAGGAGTGCAATGGCTCGATCTCGGCTCACTGCAACTTCCGCCTCTTGGGTTCAAGAGATTCTCCTCTCAGCCTCCCAAGTAGCTGGGATTACAGGAACCTGCCACCACACCCAGCTAATTTTTGTATTTTAAGTAGAGACAAGGTTTCACCAGGTTGGCCAGGCTGGTCTCGAACTCCTAACCTCAGGCAATCCACCCACCTTGACCTCCCAAAGTGCTGGGATTACAGGCATGAGCCACCGTGCCCGGCCATGGATTGGAGCATTTCTAAGGCCTGAGGTAGTCCTGTTATTAAATACAATGCAGTATCTTCCTGATCCTTACCTGCTTTGACCAAGTGCTGAGGAATGAGCCCAGCACTGACAGATGTTGACCTGCACTGTTCTACATGATCCTTACACTCTCCAGAATCTATGAGCTGACCAGAAGCCTGTGGGCTTTCTATGTGTATTTCACAGTAATGTCCATGCAAACATCTGTTGTTCTATGTACCATTTGCTACCCTGGGTTTTGTGACCACTGGGGCCCCATTTGATGATGGGCAAAGTTTGGCAGCTTATAGGCCACACAGTTCCAGGTGCACACATAGGTGCTGGAACTCCGTGGTATGCGTCCTGTCACCAAGCTTGAGTGATGACACAGGTGAGTCATACAGACTATCAACATTGGGACCCATTTCTGGGTTCCTTTTACCTCCTCCATTCAGGAGGAGGTCAGAATCTGGGTTCACTCCTTTCTGCACTCTCTCCAGCTAAGGAGTAGGGATATTAAACTGACCTTCAGGTACAGCTGGGAGTGAGGGAAAGAGGTCATTTATGTGAAGTGTATGGTGGTGCTGAAGTTTTTCTTCCTTTTTACTAGAAGACATGACTCGGGAGGCTGAGGGTGAGAGGACCACAGGCCAGGAAATTCAAGAAAAGTGACACTTGTACTGTGCTGGGCATGCATTATTTAATTTTGGGGAAAACACACGTTTACAAACACACTCACCTCACTACCCATGGATTCACCCCTAATACCTCCCAGCACCTATACACAGTAATACACCATCTAAATGATATGGCTGTTTCCAGGGTCTCCAGTGGATGATCACAGTTCTTCACTGAGCCATCTGTTTCTCACACTACACTCAGTCCTCACTCTTATCAGGGCCGGAAGCCAGGCAGGCTCTCCAGACAAAACAGGCAAGAGGTCCCCACGACCTATCACTTAGATTTGTCATCAGCAAGGGAGTGGTCTTAGAATACGAATAGTGTTAGAGAGGAGAACACCACACACTGGGGCCTGTCAGGGGGACAGGTGAAGGGAAACATCTGGATAAACAGCTAATGCACGCAGGGCTTCATACCTAGGTGATGGATTGACAGGTGTAGCAAACCACCATGGCACACTTTTACCCATGTAACAAAACTGTACATCCTGCACATGTATCTCAGAACTTTAAAAAAAATTAAATTACAGGCTGGGCGTGGTGGTTCTTGCCTGTAATCCCAGCACTTTGGGAGGCTGAGGTGGGTGGATCACGAGGGCAGGAGATAGACACCGTCCTGGCTAACATGGTGAAACCCCATCTCTGCAAAAATACAAAAAATTGGCAGTGTGGTGGCTTGCGTGTAGTCCCTACTCCAGAGGCTGAAGCTAGAAGTCGCTTGAACCCAGGAGGCAGAGGTTGCAGTGAGCTCAGTGAGCTGAGATCGCACCACTGCACTCCAGCCTGAGCAACAGAGCGAGACTCCATATAATTAATTAATTAATTAATTACTTAAAAAAAATAAGCTACCTTAAGGGATGGAAGAAACAATCTGACCCTTACCTGGTTCCTCCATTTAGGTACCAAACTGGCTGGATAAATTCGGCTAGAGGAATGGGACGGGGACTCCAAAGGTGGGGTTTGAATTTCATTGAGAAGAGGGCTCTCCCTTTTCTAGATCAAAAAAGCCTCAACGACAAACACAAAGACAGTCAGCCTTTTTGCCCCCATGCCCCAGATCTGGAAAGCTGGCTATGGGCAGGGAGCTGGAAGCTGAGGATGTGTCTGGGGATGAG